GGAGGAAAAGAAGGATGAGCAAGGTCTGCAGACAAAGATGGTCCCTGTGCTGTGGGGGGGCAAGCAGACACCTGCTCCCTCTCCCACGGCTGCAGAGAGCTAAAGGAAACATGGGAACCATGCAAGTAACTTTTTCAGAGCTTGTCCAAGTCAACGAACCTCAAAGTCACTGCGTGACCACAGATGACAAGAAACAAGTTCATGGTTCTTGAAGTAAAACGATGGGGGAGGAAGAATAAAAAATAAATATATGTTCGGACTCCCCCAAATGCCCCATGGCACTGCCCAGAAGGACATTCTCTAGGTAGGAGTGAGGCTGTCTTGCAGGATGGGAACCAGGAAGTGCCTGCGGCCCCGGCCCGGCCAACAGCTGGCAAGTGGCCTCTCGGGCCTTAGCTCCTCCATACCCCAGGAGCCCTGGGCCCTGCCATCCTCAAGTCCTTTCCGGCTCTGATCTGGGCAGATGGTCACCTGCTGTTCCAGCCTCCCTTCTGGGCCTGACTTGACCTCTGCAAGCAGCAGCTCTGTGGATGGCAAACAGACCTGTGCCTGGAGGTGGGAGAGCAGGGTGGGGGCTCCCAGCTGCCTGAGGGAGGGGCAGGACAAGCTGTAGGCAGACCCACCTCCCCTGAATGGGTCCGGGCCTCAGGCTGCTGAAGCGAAAGGCCCTCCAGCCCCAGCCTAACCCCAGACCAGAGGTCCAGACCCCACGCCCTCCCACAACCCTAGCGGTTGCGACCAAGCTCCCCACCAGGAAATACTCGCAGCCCAGGCAGGTCACAGACTCACTGGTCCCCAGGGGCTGTCACTGTGGTCCACTCGCCCCCACTTCCCCGGGCCCTGGTGCCCACACCTAGGCTTTGGCCCTGCCACCGCCTGCTGCCCTGAGAGTGGGCCGGGTAGGGACTAGTATGGGCACCAGGAGAAAACCCAGAACTGGGCCGCTTAGCACGGAAGGAGTTGGGGGAGGGGCAGGGGAGCAAAGGCCAGGCCTGAGAGCCCCGCAGCCAATTCCTAGGGTGGCTCGGGCTGGAGAAACAGCCTCGCCCTCCACAGGCCCTGGGGGTGCTGGGGGAGAGGGTAAGTACCGACACTTAGGAGGGACTCGGGAAACCCTGCCGACCTCGAGCTTGGCTATTTCCGGGCGCGGCTCCTCGCGCCGGGCCCAGGAGTCCCTGGGTGGGGCAGCCCAAACGTGGAGAGTGGCCCCGTGGCCGAGAGCCCGCGGCCGCAGCGAGCTTAGCTTTTGGCCAAATCCGGCCCGCGCGCCTTCCGGCTGTTGGGTCAGGGCTGAGAGTCCTCCCGGAGCCCTGCGTCACCGCCCAGACAGCGCCCAGCGTCCCTACCGGCAACCAGGCGCCCTCACCCCAGCGCCTGCACCCCGTGCGCCGCGCGCGGGCCGGGCGGAGGGAAAGTTGGCAGGAGCGCGGCGCCCGCGGGAGAAAGCGTTAATGGGAGGCCGGGTGGGAGCAGCGCGCTCGCTCGCCCACGTCACGCCGGTGCGGGCTCGGCTGACGACCGCGGCGCCTGGGGACGCCGGCGCGCTCCGCTCGCCAGGTGCTCCGCCTGGAAATGTCTCCATTAGTTGTCGCCTGCTCCCCGCTGGAGCGCGCGCGCCGAGCTGCCGCGCGGAACCCTCGCGGGCGGCCGGGAGTGGCCCAGCGCCGCCGCAGGTAGGTGAGGGCCCCGCGCCCGCCCCCGCCCCCGCCCCGGGGTTCCAAGACCCCTCCCCCATTCCGAGGAGGCGGAGGCTCCGTGCGGCCGCCGAGGGGCGCGGGCGGCGGCGGCAGCGGCGACTCCCCGGTGCGTCCCGGGCTGCGCGCTGCTCCCCGCGGCCCCGGAGCCACACGGCGCGGGCGGGAGCTTCCCCAGCTCAGGTAGGGAGTCGGCTCCGCCGCACAAACTTTGCGAGGATCGCTCTTGCGCTGGAGGGGACAAAGTTTGCCACTCGCCGGGGGCTCTCCAGAGGCCGCTGCGTTTCTGCAAGTTCGGGAAGCAGGGTGCGTGGGGCGCGGGGTGGGGGGCCGGGAGTGGCAAGGCCTGAGGCCTAGACGCCCTGACTGCGCTCGGTCCTGCCTCGGGCAGTGCCCAGGGAACCAGCGGCGGGAGAGCGGAGGGAGAGGGCCGCGGGCCCCAGAAGAGGGGGGTTGGGAACCCAGAGAGTCAAAGCTTGTCCCTGTGGCTGCTACTCCTACCACCGGCTGCGAGGGGGTCTCGGGGGTGGGTTATGAAGAAGTGACCTGCCAACCTCGAGGTTCGACAATGCGGCGTCAGCGACCGTGGGGCCTCTGAGCCCTGCACCCTAACCGGGCGTCCCGAGCAATGAGCGGGCACAGGCACCCCCAAGGGCTCTGGCCCCAGGCCTCCGAAAGAAAGGCCCCTGCCTGGTGCCCTAGGCTCTCGGCTTCGCCTTTGGCTGGGGTCAACTTACCTGGGCTGGAAGGAGCTCTGACCAGCTCTTGGTGCCGGGAATGGGTGGTCCCCGGGGCAACTCCTGCAGCACCCGGGCTAAGCTGGCGGAGGAAGGGTCAGGCCCGGGCTGTCTCCCCAGAGGCCTCCAATGGTTCCGACGGCCAGCAGCAATCCCTTCAAAATAGGTGGCCGGCCTGCGCTTCGCGTTTGGGGCTGACCATCTCCTGCCTCCCCTGCGGCCTGCTCTGGTCCTGGTCCCCCGCCGATTCAGAGCTCTCCAGGCCTGCGGGAGCACCTCACCTCACCGAGCTGACCTGGTGCTGTGTACGCCCGGAGCCGGGTGACTTCTGGCCCTCCTGCTCACGGGGGTATTCGGTACCCGGGATCCCAAGAGGGAGGAAGGTTCAGCACTCCGCGTCTATGCAAACGCGTTCAGCTCCTACCTGAGATGCTGACAGTCCTATCGCTGGTGAAAGGGACATTGGGAGCCTCAGCTCCAGGCTTGGCCTTTCGGTAAAGGCACTTGGACAGCATTCCAATATTATCTATGGGATATGGGTGGCCCAGCGAGAATCCCCATTTGGACAGGCGGGCCTGGCCAGGATACAGGGTTTCGATGAGACGTCCCTCCGGGTGGCCGCCTGCAGGAGATAGGCTAGGTTGACCCTGTGTCCTGGAATGAGTAGTGGGGCCTGGGTGAGGCCGGGCAGGTCAGGAGGCCTCCGGGGCAGCTTCGAGCTTCCCGAGGCAAGGTGACTGTGACTGGGCCTGGACCCCATGCGCTGGGGCCTGGGGCGGGCAGGAAGTGGAGTATGGTGTGCAGCGGCCTGGGAAAGCCGATTCCGAGGCCAGTCTTCTGGCTCAGGGAGAAAGGGTCGCCCGCTGGTAGGGACTGGAGCGTCGATTTATGCACACAGCCTGGAAAGGCAAAGGAGAACAGGAGAAGGTGGCTTGGTGGTCAAAGGAAGCCCCCGAAATCCTCCCCTAAGGGCCCCCAGGGACCGGCGCACCGGGAAGTGGAGACTGCATCTCCCGGACTCCGAGGGTGAGCTCCTCTGCCCAGAAGATGAATGGCTGCCTATTCCAGGGCTTCGGCTCCACTTGAGCCCCGCCCGGGTCTGGAAGGAAAGAAACGCACCCCCCTCAGGTCTGGGTGGGCTGAGCCGCTCCACCAGAGCCCCGAGGTGCATGGCGGAGGTGGCTGGGCCCTGGGCCCTGCTCTCCTCCTCCGCCGGCTGAGCGCTCAGTCGCCGAGGCCAGGTTTCCCGGAATAGATGAGGAAAGGCCAAGCCGCTGCTGAAGGCCTCCCCTCCGCCTCTACTCCGCGTCCGAGCCCAGGATCCCGCTGGGCTTGCACCCCTCCCCTGGCCGGGCCTCATTACCTGGAGAGAGCGAGTTGTTTGTAAACAATAAATAATGGGAAGTAGGAGGATGTTCAGGAAGAGCCAGAAAACTGGAAGGAGTGGGGAGGAGGGAGGGTGGGGGTGGGGAGGAGGGGGTGGGGGAGGGGAGGAGCAGGAGGAGAGAGGTTGGGAGATTCATTTCTAGCGAGAAGCCCCGGTGGCTAGTTTCTTATTATTTACAGGAAGGTGATATTAGCGATTCAGGTGAGAAAGAAATAAACACGGCCTGCCGCGAAATCAATACAGAATTCAGAAACAATTATTAATGTCATTTGACGCGTGTTCTTTATATATTTCTCGCGGCTACGGACGCTAAACTGTCTGAATAATTTGCATGGAGCGGCTATTCATTATTTCCGATGGTTTTCCTCTGCAAGCAGCTCGGACGTGGCCGGCTGCGGTCCAACGCGATCGGAGAACTCGTATTTTCATCTGTAAATTAAAGCAATTACGCAGCAGATATTATATGATGTGTACTGTGGTCTCCAGATAGTCATCAATCACCTTCAACCGAGCTGTCAAAGGAGCCGGCAGATTTCGTTTCTGGGAGGCAGGCTTGCAGCTGGGGAGAGGGCGAGGACGTCATCATTAATTAGAGGGTGACCCTGGGGCGATTCGCAGGTCTGAACCCGGGAATCTTTCTGAGCAAGTCTGCACAACGCTGCCCGGCGCTTCCTTCCCAACCTACCACAGGAGGCCGGCCCAGGGGACGAGAGCCACCGGGCCGAGCCCCGGTCCCCGGAGGGCGGTGGCGCAGAAGGCGGGGAGCGCGTTCGGGATGGCCCGGGCGCCCTCTGGCCGCCTGCTCTCTGGCCTCCGCCGTGAACTTGGGCAAGGTCCCAGGGAGGGTACTGGCTGGGGAAGTCCTGGGGTGGGCGCTCGGCCTCCTCCCCCGATTGCTGCGTGCGCCCCGGGCAGAAAGCTGGGCAAACCCGATGGGGGAGGGCACCCAACGCCCCCTCCCCCGCAGCCAGCGCTGCGGGGCGCCGGGAAGGACGAGCGTAGCGGGAGGGGCCGGGGCCTGTGTTGAGGAACCTGCTCTTCCGAGCGCACCGGGCGGTCCGGCAGTCCCCGGCTTAGCCGCGAGGGGCAGGGGAGGCGGGCGGAGCGCGGCTGGCGGAAAGGGGATGGGGGAGGAAAGTCGGGGAAGTGAGGCGGGGGCGGTGGGCTGAGCGGGAACTTAAACCGCCGGGGTGGAGAAGGAGCGGCGTTCTGCGGTGACACTCGGCTGCCCCGAGGGGCACAGCCGGCGGGCGCGTGCCTGGGGCTGCCCTACAGCCCTTGGGCCGCCAGTCTCAGGGTCGCTAGTCTTGGGCTCCAAGGAAGGCCCCAAAGCCCACACACCTGCGCGCATACGGACCGGCACTCGCGGGCTCTCTGGCGGCCGCAGAGGGTTCTGAAAGTCCTTTCCGGCGTAGGGTGGGCACCGGCGGGAGGCGCCGCAGACTCCGGGTTGAAGAACAGCGGCGAGACGCGTGCGGGGCGCCTGCCGGCCCCTTCCTACCTCTGGGAGCAGAGCGCTCAAGAGCGAGGCCGTGTCGGCCGCCTGCGCTGCGCCGGGCTAATTTTAACTGTTGATTACCTCTTCAGCGAAGACTCACTCGCGTGTCCCTTCATAGGTCTCATTTGTAATTGAGACGAATGATTACAGAGGGGCGAGAAGGAGCAGCTGCTCATTAATTAATTTCTAATTAAAAGTGCCTCTCTTTCTCGGGTGACTAAGGAGAACCGCCGCTCGCTGGGCGATATTGACTCGGACGGAATTCATTTGCTAACGCCCCGAGGAATGGCCCCTCGGCCCAGCGCGCGGCCCGGACTGTCCTTGCCCCGCCCTGCCCGAGCCGCCTGCGGAGAGACCCGCGAGTGTGCCGCCGGGCCGGGCTGCGCGGGGTGGGGCTGACGTCAGCGCCTCCGCCGCTTAAAGCCGCGCATATCTGACTTGACGGGTTCGCGCGACTGGGTTTTTTTTTTTTTTCTTTTTTGCAAAATATGTATTTCTGTCGCCGCTGCGAGGCCGGCCGGTCCAAGAGCCCCCTCGAACCTCGGGAATGCGAAGTTAAAAGAATCGCTGCGGCCACTGCGGCTCACTTTGTTACCCGGTTAGAAAAGTTTGCGGAGCGCAGGGGTGAACTAACCGGCTCTCCTGCTTCTCCCTCCCAGCGCTTAGAAGCCCACAGCCCCGGAGCAGCGGCCGCGCGACGCCGGCCCCAGCGCGCAGGACCCTGCTGGCCCCGCCCGTCCGCCCCGGGTCGCACCCGCCATGTCCTACCCGCAGTTTGGATACCCCTACTCTTCGGCTCCCCAGGTAAGCGGAGCCCCCCGAGGCCCTAGCAGGTGCCAGTGATGGGGCCCTAGATGGGACGGGACCGGGGCGGGCGGGTTGGACCTACTGCCTCCCGTGGCTTCCCAGATAGTAGGGCATGGGTCACCCGCCCCTCACGCTCAACCCGTGGGCGCCAAGCCCCTGGGGGAATCCCGAGGCGCTGAGAAAATCCAACGGGCCGGGCCTGATTTCCTGATGTTTGACTCACAAGGCTCAGACTGTGCCCCAGGTGAGTCCAAGGACACGAAGAAGCTCTTGGGGAAGGCAGCTTGGCACGCAAATGGCGTCAGAGGCCTTGGAAACCCTCCCAGAGAGGGTGTCAGTGCCCAGCTGGGCCCCACGTGGCGAGGGAGGCCAGGCGTTTGCAAGCTCGAGGAAAGGGGAGAGCGGCCTGACGTGGACTGCTGGAGGCCCCCGGGGACTCGGGGCACGCCCTCGTGTGCGGCGCACGGGATTGGCAAGGACCAGGGCCCCAGCCTCCCGCCCGGGTTCCCACCCTTCCTCGCGGCCTCTCTCTGCAGTTCTTGATGGCCACCAACTCTCTGAGCACGTGCTGCGAGTCGGGCGGCCGCACGCTGGCGGAATCCGGGCCCGCCGCCTCGGCTCAGGCGCCGGTCTACTGCCCGGTCTATGAGAGCCGGCTGCTGGCCACTGCGCGCCACGAGCTCAACTCGGCCGCGGCGCTGGGCGTCTACGGGGGTCCCTATGGCGGATCGCAGGGATATGGCAACTACGTGACCTACGGCTCGGAGGCGTCCGCCTTCTACTCGCTGGTAAGGGGGCATCTCTAGCCCCTGCCCTGCCCCTGTCCCTCGATTTGTCAAGCCCACTTTTCCCCCAGAAGGCTCACCAGTCCTCCGGGTCCCGGACTGTCGAAGGGGGGAGGCGCTCACCTTGGCTCCCTTCAACTTTGCGCCTCCCAGCCGGGTCCCTCAGAACCCCACCCCATCCCCTGCGTCAGGGTGACCCGGCAGGTGGCCGCTGTGTTTCTTGGTTTTGGTACCCAACTAAATCCTCATCAGCTTGCGGATTGAGTCTGCCTGTGCTCCCCTCTTCTTCCCTCCTGCTGACTTTCCTCTCATTCCCCGACTTCACTCTGCTCTCCGGGCCTCCTTCACGCTCCAGCCTCCCTCTTCTTGCCCTCCTAGCCCCTCTCTGACTCAACCCTCCCATCTCCCTCTTCGTCCCTCTCCCCTGCTTCCGCCCCCCTCCTGGCTCCTCCCTGCTTCTGGCTCCTCCCCCTTCTGGATCCTCCCCCTTCTGGCTCCTCCTCCACCTCTTGCTCCTCCCCATTTCTCTTACCTTCTCCCCTCCTGGCCTCCATCCCTTCGCTCAGCGTCCCTCCCCTTTCTCCACTCCTCTCTCCTCCCCCTTTGAGTACATCACCAGAGGCCCCCAGCCCTTCCAATCCCCACTCCTTCTCCCAGGTGCCCCCTAATGCCGGCCCCCAGTTCTTTCTCACTTCCTTCCACCTTCCTCCTCCTCCACATCCCGGCTCCCGTCCCCCGACACGGCTTCCCCAACTCAGAACAACCTCACTTCCCGTCTGGAAGACCGGGTTCAAAAGCGGGCGGGGAAATCAGCTCCTTCGCTGCCGGGTGCAGGGCTGCCCAGGAATCCGGGCGAAGCCTTTGGAGCAGGGGTCTCCTAGGAGAGAGGCTGGAGTGGGGTCGCCTCCCCGGAAGCTGCGACCCCAGACTCCTGGCTCCTACAGAACAGCTTTGACTCCAAGGACGGGACGGGATCTGCGCATGCGGGCCTGGCGCCAGCCGCTGCCGCCTACTACCCTTACGAGCCGGCTCTGGGCCAGTACCCCTATGACAGGTGAGGACCCGCGCCTCCTAACCACCGCCGCCCCGTGCGCTCTGCACTGTCAGCCACCACCCCCCCCTCCACCATCACCTTTCTGGAAGGCCGGAGGCCGGAAGAGAGACGCTTCTAGGTCAGACTGACCTGACTCTGGTCTATCGGGTCCAGCCTCCTGGCGACCCTGCTCCTGCACAGCCACGGGTTAAAATGCTCCCCAGTCTCCCCCGCCCGCTACGTTCTTGAACCCTAGAAGTCCTCGATGCCTGGCAGACAGCTTTCAGGGAAGTGGAATCTGGAAGGCCAGTTCACGGGCAGCCGCTGTGCACGCTGGGCACCTCCCTCCGAGGGTCCACTCTGCCCCTACACTGGGGAACCGGGGCGCCCCTGGTGGCCCTCCTGGCCCACTTGTGGACAGCACGCCCCACCTTCCTCGGTGCAACCCATTACAGATTTAGCCAAAGAAAGTCCATTCAAGCCCCCTGGGCACTTTCTCCTCATGGAAAATAATGACTCTTCTTGGCCACAGGTGTTAACCTATCAGGGTGTGGGCTCGCATGTCTAAAACCTTTTTATGGTTTGGGGATCAAAGGGGTAGGTGGCCATTCCATAAAATAATTGACCTGGACCTCTCTGGCTTGGGAAGGAGCTCAAGCTCCCTGTAAGTTTACTCAAATATGTTTGCCCATGGGCCACAGAAGACACGTGCCAGCGGGCAGCAGCACCTGGTTGGGACTTGGGTCCTACCGGGCCTTATGCCCTTGACCACAACCTCACGACAGGAAAGCAAATCCCGTCCTCGCATGCCCCTGGCCGACCCCCACGCCGTCGCCCACGATGCCTTGGGCCCAAAGGGCCCGGCCAGCGCCCATTGCAGAGCTTGTCTCCAGGTACGGCACCATGGACAGCGGCACGCGGCGCAAGAACGCCACGCGCGAGACCACCAGCACGCTCAAGGCCTGGCTCAACGAGCACCGCAAGAACCCCTACCCCACCAAGGGCGAGAAGATCATGCTGGCCATCATCACCAAGATGACCCTCACGCAGGTCTCCACCTGGTTCGCCAACGCGCGCCGGCGCCTCAAGAAGGAGAACAAGATGACGTGGCCTCCGAGGAACAAGTGCGCAGATGAGAAGCGGCCCTACGCGGAGGGCGAGGAGGAGGAGGGGGGCGAGGAGGAGGCGCGGGAGGAGACCCTCAAGAGCTCCAAGAACGCAGGTGGGCTGGGGGGTTGTCGCTGGGAGCTGAGGCTCTGGGGTGCAGGCTGGAGCCTTCCTTTGCCTTCTCTGCGGTTCTAGGGCGTCTTGGGGGGTCCCAAACGCTGAGCCCATGCCTCGGCGGTCAATGTGCAAACCGGTTTTGCCTCAGGCTATGAATGTGGGGACTGTGGTGGTCATCCCTATTTAAAGAAACTCAAATAACGTTTAAAAATATTAGACACCCCGTACCCCATTGGAGGCCTCCTGTGTTGCCACTTTGTGACCTGGTGGCCTCTGGAGGAAGTGGGAGACGCGAAGAAAGGCCCTGAGTGCTTTTCCTGGCTTCAGGCCAACGACGGTGGGCGGGGACAGGGGGTCTGATTCTCCCTCCACCCCTCCCTCCACTGGCCACGCGTTCTCTCCCGCAGAGCCCGTGGGCAAAGAGGAGAAGGAGCTGGAGCTTAGTGACTTGGAAGACTTCGACCCGCTGGAAGCGGAGCCCCCGGGGTGCGAGCTGAAACCTCCCTTCCAGTCTCTAGACGGCGGCCTGGAGCGTGTCCCCGCCGCGCCTGAGGGCCCCGGCAAGGAGGCCTCCGGCGCTCTTCGGATGCCTCTGGCCGCGGGTGGCGGAGCTGCTCTGGAGGAGGACCTGGAGAGGGCCCGCAGCTGTCTTCGCAGTTCGGCGGCCGGGCCGGAGCCACTGCCGAGCACAGAGGGCGGTCCTCAGGCCTGTGAGACCAAGCTGGGGTTTGTGCCGGCGAGGGCGGCGGCGGGGGCGGCGGCGGGCCTCGAGGCCAAGCCGCGCATCTGGTCCTTGGCGCACACCGCCACAGCCGCTGCCGCCAGCGCCCTGAGCCAGACTGAGTTTCCGTCGTGCATGCTCAAGCGCCAAGGCCCCGCGGCCCCTGCGGCTGCGTCCTCCGCTCCCGCCACGTCCCCGTCTGTGGCCCCGGTCCCCTCTGGTGCCCTGGATAGGCACCAGGACTCCCCGGTAACCAGCCTCAGAAACTGGGTGGACGGGGTCTTCCACGACCCTATCCTCAGGCACAGCACTTTGAACCAGGCCTGGGCCACCGCCAAGGGCGCCCTCCTGGACCCCGGGCCTCTGGGACGCTCGCTGGGGGCAGGCGCGAACGTGCTGACCGCACCCCTGGCCCGCGCCTTTCCGCCTGCCGCGCCCCAGGACGCCCATGCTGCGGGCGCCGCCCGGGAGCTGCTGACCCTGCCCAAGGCCGGCGGTAAACCCTTCGCCTGAAGCCGGCGGGCCTGAGCCCAGGAGGGAACCCGCGCTCAGGCGGACGGCGCCCACATTTTTCCCTGAGTTTCCAGAGGAAGACTCTTGTGAACTCGGACCCCTGGGAACATGGACAAGCCCGGCGCTGCCACGCAGGGGCCTCCACCACCTGGGCCTGAGTCCCAGGCCATTCCCAAACTCGCGACGCGGAAGGAGAGGCCCTGGGGCAGAAGAGGCCACCCTGAGCATAAAGTTTACGTAAAAAGTTTACATGAGAAGGCGGTTCCGTTCTGAAGCGCGGTCAGCTGTCCTCCGGCTGAGGCGGGCGGCGTGGGTTGTGAAGCCTCCCGGCCTCCGATTTCATCCTCAGCACACAACGCTCACCAACAGCACTTGCACTGACCCGACTTGCACACTCTTGACTCCATAATATTATGTTTTTTAAAATGTATGTTCACACTGCTTCAGAGGCTGATATAACAAAAACAATAAAACCGAGTGGTGGTGTTTGTATTGCAAAATGAACACATTTAAAACCAGGTGATTTGAGAATTCCCAGGGCAAGCGGGACAGATCCTGGAGGGAAGGAGTGGGGAGCAGGAACTGACCCAGACTGCACTCCTAAAAAGCCGCTGGCTCGACCCAAGACTAAGCCACTTTTTAAAAGAACCATCACTGTCGAGTTTGAGGCTTCCCTTGAACTCCCTAATAGAAGTGGGCGTGAGACCCAAAACTCAAGCTTGCATCACCAAACTCCAGAGCTTTGAAAAACGGATTTCTTTGATTAGATTTTAAACTTCTAAATTCCCAGAGCCTTATCCCGGGGTGAAGGGTGGGCGTGGGAGGCCTTTGCTTTTCTCTGTTGGCAGCCTCCGCCCATCCAAGGCGGCAGCCAGGGCGGTTTCGACGCCCCCGCCACCTGGGCCGCCCCCAACCTCACCTCTCCTCCCTCCCGGGACCCTCCACTTTGCAGTCAGCTCTGCTCGGAAAGCCGGCGAGCCGCGGCTCCGCGAAGGGAAAGGCTTAGAGCTTCGTAGGCCTCAAACCCGAGGCGGGACTGGGAGGAGGGGCCTCAGGGCAGGGCGGGAAGGGCTCTCGAAAGGGACCCGCGAAGCAATCCGGAGCCGGGAGGCCGGGCCGGACAGTGGCTGCGCTCAGAAACCCGGCTCCCCTCCCCATCTCCGTGGCGGCGCCAGGTCCGCATCCCCCGCGTGCGCCTGGCCCGCTGAGGCCTCCGCCTGAAACCCTGCTGGGCTCATCAAAGGCCCAGGTGTCCCCAGGACCCGGAGGGCGGTCTGGGGGTGCGGCGAGGAGGCGGTGGCAGACTCTGGCCTAGGACCGGACAGCCGCGAGATTCCAGACGGGGACGCGGGATTGTCTTGCCGGAGGCGGGCGGGCGGCCTTCGAGGGACTCCCCAGGCCGGGCTGTCTTCTGGGAGCCTGGGCGGCCCGGACTGCGTGGTCGTGGGGTCCTAACCTCGGGAAAGGCCCCGGGCGGACCGGAGCCCTGGAAAGCCGGCCCGAGGGGCCTCACCGGAGCGCTGGGGAGACTTCTCGTCTTCGAGGGAGTGGAACCAGGACCCCGGGTCCACCAGGGTTCCCCGCGTGGTAGGGCCCTCCTTGAACCCTGGCGGTGAGGCCTGGACCTGGCCCTGAGGCAGAACCTCGGCCACCAGACCCCGAGCGGCCCCGGCCGCCGCCGAGCCCCAGGCCCGCCTGGGCAGCCGCGCGTAATTGGATTGTATCCGGCCGCGCGCTGTCACCGTATTGACTTTCGCGCTCAAGATGATATTATCGAGGTTCGGAAGCTCGCGGCTGATGTGCCTGTCAAAAGGCTGCGGCGGGAGCCCCCGGCCTGGCGAGCGAGCATCAGCCAAGATAATTTGAAGTGAAATTTTCATTTTGACAGTAAACCCCTCAATTTCTAAAGGCTCCGCTCTCCGAGAGCTCGCTGGCAGGGGGAGGCTTTGCAGAAAGCCCACGTCTTAGACTGAAAAGGGCAAAAGAACTCGAATTAGTTGTAATAGATAAAAGGGCAAAAATAAAGAGTCAAGGGTAGTTGACAGTAATAGCGAAAGTGGAGTCTCGGGGGAGAGCGTTGAGGCCCGAGGCTGGGGCGCCAGGAATTTTAATGTGGCCGAGGGCGGCTGCCCAGGCGCCCCCATCCCAGCCCTAGACAAAGCCAGGCATTTTCTGCAAAATCAAGGTTTCGCCTTGTGTCTCAGATAGGCGGGATAGGGGCTGCGGAGGCTGAAAACCGAGGCTTGGACCCCGGCCTTACACTCCCGGCTACCGGCCTCTGCAGCCCCCGGGAACGCATGGGTGGCGCAGGTTGGCGGGTCAGGCTTGGTCTGGGCGCTGGGCCCCTCTCCGGGGGAGGACCCAGGGCTCCGGCCACTACCCAAGCTCGCTGCCCTCGGGACCCCAGCCCCTCTCCATGGCCCCAACCATCGGAATTCCATCTCGCAGGAGCCCCCGGATCTGGGTGGAACCGACTGACACAACTGGCTTATTTGAATAAACTGCGAGATTGTGTGAAAGACGCAGGTGGGGAGGCGGATTCAGCCCCCTTCCAAGGGGACACGCAGGAGCGGGGCGCTTCCCCCCACACCCTTCCCTTGGGGCTCAGTCCAGCAGGTTTGCCTTAAGCACCCCAGACACCCTCTGGCTGATCTTGTGGGGTGAGGAGATGTCAGCTAGGAGGACAGTCCCAAAGTCGGGGGAGGGATGGCGTCTGCAAAGAGGTGACACGGGGTGGGGGGGCAATTTTAGGTGTCTGAGTGGATGCGCTGGGAAGGTCGCCGTCAGTGTGGCGGGGGCGTGACAGGGAAGGGTCGGGGCGGGCGACTGGGCGCGCAGGGAGATTGTCAGAGCAGGGCTGGGAAGGCGCCGGGAGGCTGGCAGGGCCGGCGCGCTCAGTTATTCAGGCGTGGCGAATTCAAACACACCAAGGAGGAGATGCTAAATTAACGGCGCTCTTTACATAGAGCCCAAATAAAACTGTAATCAGCGGTGCGTTACTTTTCATTAAGCGAGTCTGACAGCAGCATATTCAAGCTCGACAAGGGAACAGGCGCGGGAAATATACGGCTCTCCCGGCCGCCCGGCCTGAGATAATTCCTTAAGCTCCATTAGTAACTCTTAGCCGCAGGAAATGCGCTCCCGGAAAACGTCTCCAAACCTAAAAGCTTTATCGACCTCTCAAACCTCGGCTGATTCCATTTTTTTTTTCTGTTTTCTTCCTTTCTCTTTTTTTTTAACTTAAGGGAGAGACGTCCAGCAAGGTAATAGAGTTTGACACGACACCTTCTTAACTAGAGAGAGGCAGAGAAGCCAGCCCTTAAATGATATTTAAAAGGCAACCAATTAAGATTTAAAGTGGCCGTCTCCTGAGGTTATGCATGCGACGTATGCCACCTGCGTTTCCCTGGGCAAGCCTGCTGCGGACGAGACAGCCCGGCCTCCCACTCTCCCCATCCTGGTCTCTGTCTCTCAGCCCCTCAGTCTCCCCCCAACTCCACTCTGCTCCCCTCTCTCGCCTCCCCCTCTCTCTCCTACTCTCTCTATCTAGAATAATCGCTGGGCCTCTCTTCCTCCCTCTCTGACTCACCTCCCAGCCCCCATAAAGGGAATAGCAGAAAGCAGAGAAGCAGTAGATGCCCCCTATTCCATCCCCTCCCCGTGGAAAGACCCCGAGGTTTCCTGGTAGATGGGCAGCCTGGCCCATCAGAGGAATGGCTGATTAAGGGAAATTGAGCCCCACCCCCATCCCATAGACGTCTTGCTGGCCCACAGTTTCCCAAGACCCTGGCACCCCCACAGTGGCCTCTCACTGGGTTCAGGCCTTGCTTCCAGGCCTCCAGCACGGAGATGGAGGGGAAGGGTGGGGCGGGAGTAGGAGGTGGGGTGGGTGTGAGGGGCAGGGGCAACAGTTAACAACAGAGAGGAAGCTGGGAGCTACCCTGGAACCCTCCAGCTGGTGTGACTGAGGCAGGGGCTCCCCCCACCTCCTCACCCCTGCCACTTTCTTGCCAGCTTCTTGGGGTCCCTCTAGGGAAATCCTTGCTCTGGGGGCAGTCACGTCCCTTTCATACTGTCACCTCCATAGAGGTGATGCTGGTTTGGGAATATTTCCCCACTGGAGCCACCAAAAGGAAGGAGTTAGAAAGCCCCTTCCCGGGGCTACTCCGTGGAGGGCAGCCAGGCCCAGGAAGGGAAGCACCAGACCTTTTGATTTACCCCTGGCAAAGTCCCAGCTGGAACGGACTTGAAACAGTGGGGCAGAGGGAAGGTGAGGTGGGGGAGGGGAGGGCAAAGGGAAGGGGAGAGAGGACAGACCGGGAGAGGCCAGGGGGAGCAGAGGAGGGGGGTGACAGGGGAACCGTCCTCCAAGATGCAGGGCCTCAGCTTTATGAAGAAATACTTGAGAGCAAAATGTCTTTTCCCAAGAGGATTCTGGGGGCAGGATCCTGCCAGGCACCAGAGCAGGCACCTGAGCTCTCCCACTGATCCCGCCTTCCAATTCCACCTGCTGGCCAGCCCTGAGTGGGAGCTTAAATTCCAGTTTCCTGCTAGGGAAGGAAAGGCATGAACTTTCCCCAAAGATTCTCAGGAGTCAGCCAGACTAGCTCTGGACTTTAAGAAAAGGGAGTCCCGGCCGGGCGCGGTGGCTCAAGCCTGTAATCCCAGCACTTTGGGAGGCCGAGGCAGGTGGATCACGAGGTCAAGAGATCGAGACCAACCTGGTCAACATGGTGAAACCCCGTCTCTACTAAAAATACAAAAAAATTTAGCTGGGCATGGTGGCGCGTGCCTGTAATCCCAGCTACTCAGGAGGCTGAGGCAGGAGAATTGCCTGAACCCAGGAGGCGGAGGTTTCGGTGAGCCGAGATCGGCCCGATGCACTCCAGCCTGGGTAACAAGAGCGAAACTCCGTCTCAAAAAAAAAAAAGAAAGAAAAGGGAGTCCCTTGAGAGCCACTGCTCCTAACAGCATCAAAACCCAAGAGTGGGTTCTGGAGGCAGCTGCCTCCTCCCTATAAGCCTTGGTGATTTGAACCGAACCCCCATTGAAGTGTAGGAAGGCAGCAAACGCCCACATAATTGAATGGAAGAATGGGGGGTTTTCTAAGTTTTGTTTGAACTCTCCCCAGGGGAGGCGCGTGCAGCTCAGAGCACCCCTTGCTCATTCTGTCTTTGTGACAGTGATGTGGTCATTTCAAGGCCCCCTCAGATTTCCACTCACTGCTCTGGCGCAGACCTGGACTCAGAAGCATTGCCCAGGCAATTACAGACTGTCAACCTCAAGAAGAAAGCGTTAATTTATAATAATAATGATAGGTGGAGAGCTGGGGCCTTCCAAAGAGGACTGGAATCCCGGCAAGGACATCCGCGAGCTTGTTTTAAGTCCTTGTTCTTCAATGTGTTGCGCTATTTTAAGATGTGTGTTCATAACGTGTGTGGCCAGCGAAGGATGGAGCAGATGGACCTGTGGATACACTTCAGTGTGCGTGAGGCCCCCTTTCC